CATATCAAAGGCATACTCATTTTATTTAAAAATCCCAACACGAAACTAATCGGTACACAACTCTATGAGACTATGACTAGAGAAGTAGAGATAGTACTTGAGAATAACAGAAGCAATGTATTAAAATTCAATATTAATATGACTATTCCAAAATCCATCTAAGATCGATGGCTCTCTTATTAAAGCAGCAAATCTTGAAGGATTTAACTTATTGGCTCGATCTCCAAAAGCATGCCTCTCTTAGACTCCACGTAAGGATGTGCTATGGGCATTTCATCTGACTTTATTTTCCACCTACCAATATACATAAAATACAACCTTACGATTCGTATATATAAGTTAGAAGGCATGATATCGATTAACTAGAAGTGTTAAACTGATTAAACCCAATTAGTATTTAGCATTAACTTCAACTCTAATCCCACGATAAGAAGACACGTACGTTTTCAAACAGATTTGTCTATATTTAACATAACAGAATCCATGAAAGAAAAACACAATTAATCGACTAGATAAAATAAACGAATAATTTTCCATATGAGCTAATGATAATTTTCAAATGGTATAGTGTATAGCTAATTATAAGAAAATCAAATTAACCCAATGATAAATAGATGATTATGTCGGATAAAACAGAGTCCATCAATAAATTAGTCAGCTAAAGAGTAAAGAGAGTGGTTAATAAAAAGAAGACAAACCATAAGAGAGGACCAGATGATGAATGAAGAAAAAGATTTGGAGTTTGCCAAGTTCACCACCAGGACATAACCTTACTCCTCCTCCAAACGCCGTCGTTTTCTTGTTCATCTTTCCCTTGTCCTATTTATTTATTTTATTACAAAGTTTCATTTTTCACTTATCTTTTCGAATGTATCATTCTATTTTTAAACAATTTACTTACGGTCCATCTCATGGGATTAAATTCAAAAGGATTTTCATGAAGAGATGGATCAAGATGTACTGCTGTGAAAATGGGAAACACTTTCAATCCTCTTGGAATCACATATTCTGCAAATCAAGCATATAACAAAAAAAAAATATTTTAATTTTTACAACTAAATAGTAGTAAAGATTTAAAATATGACGATCGAAATTAATTAAGCTTTGAATTTAATATCATGTGTAGCTTTTCTGTGTACTGTCTTGACGATATTTCCACATCGCAATGCCTCACACATCACGTATAAATTTGAATCAATTAATTTTATGATGTAGATATACATCTAAGAAAGAACAAAGTAATAAACTAAAGGTAAAATCTGAAATATAGTCATATAGTTTTAAATTTGTCTAGATTTTTGAGGAAATTGCAAAAATACCACTTTTATGTGCATATTTGCAAAAATGCAGTGTTCATTTCCAAAAATGCCACTAATTATAGATTTTTAAACCCTATATCTTAAAATTCTAAACACTAAAAAATGTTTTGACCCCTAAATCCCCCTAAATACTTATAACTAAATCCTAATAGAACATAATTAACCCAAACATAAATAATATAAAGAAAAAATAATTTTGAAAAAGTGGCATTTTGTAAAGATTTCAAAAGTATGATATTTTTATAAAGTGGCACTTGAAAAGTGGCATTTTTTAAAATTTCTCTAGATTTTTTGGTTTTTTAAAATAAATTTGGTTACAAAAATAAGTTTGCGAATAAATTGCAAAAAATAACAGGATGGTTTATGAATCATACATTTTGAGTGAATTCCATCTTCTGGTAATCTTCCCAATTCAAGAGTTCTCCATCTCTTTTCTTGGCTCTAATGGTTTCATGTTCTTCCTGTACACATTCACATGGATAAACATATGTAAATGTGTGTATATTGTACTTGTAGATGTATAAAGGTACATATATATAGAGAATTAATTAAGGAAAAGAAAGAGAGAAGACCTTGAGTTTGTGAAGAAGATTTGGAGATTTTGCAAGAAATAGACGACTAAGGAAAGAAGAGTAGCACTTGTTTCAAAGCCTGCAAGCAAAATGTCCAACACAATGCTAATTTTCTCATCATAATTTAGATCTTTATTTGAAATGTTCACATCTAGAAAA